TATAGGTTAAGGGTTGTTCTCCCCGCATCTCGCTTAAGGGACTTGCACCCTCCTCCTGCTGCCTCACAAACAGAGATTACCTACATTGCAAAGGTAGGAAAATAGGTAAAATAGAAAAAGGCCAGCCATAGTAAACTTAGTAGCCAACAAGCATCAGGGAAGTGTGAATGGTATCTAAACCCCTCAAGGCATCCCTTATAAGTGATTTTCAGTCACCTTGACCATCATGGGTCTCATTTAAGAATGGATATGCTAGTATTCACCCAACGCGTGTAATAATTCAGAGACCATCCAACTCGAAGAATTCATCAGAATAGATACAGAATAGCAGCTTCACTGAAGCAAAATCCTGCACAGCAAGGAGTGAAATAACTGGAAAAACAGATGCTTGATTTCTGTTTATTTTTGGCAATGATGTTCCTATGATATCTGCTAGGTGATGGGAAATAAGTTGCTGAATGCTGCTTCATAAATAATATACAAACCACAGCCACATGTATGGCCGATCAGGGTGACACATAATACAGCCCTACAGAAAGTTATTTTTCTTTTGATCAATCCATAGAAGGGTCCAGAGCAAAGTTTCCATATGGGTTTTGTTCCTATTATGCAAGATGTGGCGAACTACATTGTCTCAGACAAAGGAATTAAGTGAATTGAAGAGGTGTTTTGGGCTTGGTAGTGTTTTAAGAAATGTCTTCACATCTTCAGCCCTGAGATGAGACTTATTAGCTAATTTCTATGCAAATGAAGTGGAATGTAAATTGTGTGCTACATCCCAACATAGCTTAATAGCTCCAGGAGCTAGAATTTTAGTTAACCTCAACGGACTGCAATTCTATCCAAAAATATAGTTTATTAACAAGCACATACAATGAACTGCACCACTAAATTTAAATAAAACATCTAGCAAGCTCACCTCCACACTAAGGGACATTTGGTTAACACAGAGCAAAGAAGCAACACACATACGCAACAGACAGAATGAACTTAGTTGCAATCCAAGTTCCAGTTGTAATCCGAAGAAGGGCACATAAAAGCAAAAGCAATTAAGACTTCACAAGAACCTTGCTGTTTCTTTCCACCAGACCTTTGGTCTCTTACAAAATAGGTCTGTAATACAAAAAGTAATAAAAACTCTGGATTCAATTTACTCATCCTCTTCCATCAGAAGTTAACTACAACATTTTGCAACAACATGAGTAGTGTTAAGAGGAAGGTAAGAGGCAAAGATAGTTACATCTTGGAATTATGTAAGTTCAGCTGCAGACAAAAGGCTGCCTAGCAGCAGGCATGGACTTCAATGTTGTCGTCCCAGTTTTTGCAAGAAATACAAAGATGGTAAAACACATTCTTCTCTCCCATCAATTAAAACTTGATCCAACCTCCACTGACATCAAGGCAAGAGTTCTGTTATCAGCAGTTCTCTGATGGGTCTGCAGTGGCCTTCAGAAAAAGTCATCCTCTCTACTGAAAGTTTTGCCACTCTCCAGGCTTCATCTTGGCTGTGATGTCAGTAAAACCTGACACGCTGATACCACACGGGTGTTACAACAGTCTCATCCTCCCTTCGTGCCAGAAAAAGGGATTCAGCAGAATTCGATATATAGGAATTGAAGCCAACTTGGCAATGAACAGCTCTGCTCTGCTCAGTGTAAGATCTTAACCTCCCCGCAATGATGTAAATAGGTTTGTGATGAACTTCAGTAAGAACCCAAAGGAAGGATCAGGCCAAGCCAGAACAATACGCACTTCTTGATATTCGACCTTGTTCTTCACAGAGGAAAGGACATTTGTATTTCTGATCCTCCGGGGGAGTAACATGAAGGTTCCCAAGAAGAATGCTCCAAATCTAACAGTGTCCATGGCAAAACCGCTCAAGTAGTAGTTTTGAACAAAGCCAGAGATTCCTCTGTTTCCTTTGTGGCTGAACAAGAAGTTATCGCTATTAAGTGTCCTGATTTTATTAACATGGGGCCTGTTATCACAGCATAAACAGAAATTATGCCTGCACTCCCTAATCATATTAGGAGTTTATCTTTACTCAGAAAATTTTAAAGCAGTATCAGTGGGTTAAAGACTTATTTTCTCTCATGTCTCTCCTGCACCTTTCTCTTTTTAATGCCTACAATAAAACCCCAGAAACTTCTCCTGCTCCCACCCTAAGCAGAGTTAAGAACTACCTTATGCCAAAACAAAATTTTGAAATGGTCATTTTTTGACTACTGAAACCAATTTTTTTTGCAGTACAAGGAAACATTTCTCTCACTGTGAAGTAACCTGACAAACAAGACCAAGCAATCAAAAGTTACCTAGAAATAAATGCATTAAAGTGAAGTCCAAGCACTCTGACACCTTGTACTGAAAAAAAAAAAGTGATGCACAGCTCAATCAGCAAAAAACTCCCTCTCCCCTCTGCAACTTGCATACCCGTCTCTCATGTTAGCTAGTTACGAAATGATCTTGCAGAAGAACAACTTTAGAAAAAATTGGACAAGGGAGAATGGAGTTATTTTCATCTATAACAATATCACCCACAGATATAAATGAATACACTGTCCAGATTAAAAAAACCATGAATTTAAGATGCATTTTCAGTCTATATATTGGCTTTCCTCTTCCTTGTTTTATAAAAATAGGGTATGACATTTCAGCTTCAATTGCATGTTTAAGTCATTTATTCACTGAACATTCCATTCTTGAAATATCATCTATTAAAATGTTAGTTAAGATTCATCCTGCTTATAGAACAGACTAGATTTTCTTCTGAACTGCACTTCTAGACAATAATAGATGATATGAACTCAATTAAAAAAATAATTAGATTGTGGGAAGAAGAAAAGAAAAATTAAAACAAAACAAACAAACAAAAAAAAAAAAATCAAGATCCACTCTTCCTACCTGACTGCAACTAACCCAAACGCCAACGCCTTTTAGCTGATCAGAAGGTTTAACTCCAAAATAGCATTACAGACTGATCTCAGAAACAAACTGTGTTTTAAACCTGTAATTGCCTACAAAAAGAAGAAATACACTTCCAACAAAACATGGTCTTTAATGATAGAGGAAGCTGCAGTAAAAATAATACCAAAATTTCCTGATCAGCATATTGTATCAAAAATCGCTATTTGTAACACTACCACAGTTCTCTTACCCATTTTTAAAAATGGATCCTGTACTACACTTGCACAATTATGATGCAGATATAATAGCACACGGTCAATCTACATCTCAGCTGTGTAGTACTGAAGGAAGTGAAAAAAGCTGAATATTCCTTTTGCTGCTTCAGCAGTAAACCCCGCTGGGTGGGAGAGCCTGTTGGGGATACCAACATTGAAATGAATTAGTGAAGTGACAGAGTCAGAAATCCAATAGTACAAAGTCTGCTCGGACATGGCTCTTTCCCCTACTGCAAAGCAGATTTAATAAACGGCATTTATTTTAGAAAGTTTCACAATTCTTAAACAGTAGATGATACTTGCATTCCTGAAGGATTAAGTTCTACATTTCTTAATGCTAATTCAACTCTCTAAAATCAACCCAATAAGACCAGCAAAGCTTTTATAAGTAACATGCACAATCTAAAAATTCTACCCTCAAAAACTGCCTTTTTGGTACTCTTTTAAGCTCTTAAGATACTCTATTTATTGAAGAGATGCCAGGAATCCTGCAGTGGGAACAAATGCTGCTTTGGCAAAAGGAAAACATTTTAATGCCTCCTCCCTTCAAAGTATGCACACCTCACCACAACATATGCTAATATACTACCAAATAAGTCTCTTTATCTTGCCATTTTTATAACAAACTGTTTCATTCATATCTATTTCAGCTTGTAACTAACTACTGCATAGAGTAGCACACTGTTCTAAATCAACAAGTAGTTTATACCTAAGAAATAGCTGTAATAAAAAAAAAAATATTCCAAAACAAGTCAAGAGGGGCTAAGTTTGTATAACCCGTTTCAGTGTAAAATTTAAATTTAAAGGCATACAGACATTTTGGGCCTTTTTCTCCATCCTTTAACCTTTATTTAATATGAACAAGAGCTAACAAAAAAGGATCTGCACAAATATGATGGTGGATATTCGCACTAAATTTGCAAATTCATAAGAAAACAAAAGTTGCAGCTCTTCTGTGAAGATATCTATGTATGCATATATACCTATGCACAGAGACAACGCATACCTCATCCGCCCGGACTTCCAGCCTTCTCTGAAGGCGCACACTCAACTGACACACTTTCACAAGTCAGCCAAATGGTGAATCTAGGAAAAGGTGAAGATCAATTCTGCAGATCTATAGTCTGCAATTGTAAAATATAATAAATATAGATAAATATTTGTGATCATATTACTAATTTTTTTCAAGTGAACTTTGTACTTAAAAGTTGTCTTCTTCCCAAAGAACACAAAGAAGCCAGAGGGGAAGGGTTTTTTCCAACTATAAAAAACTCTAGCAATGAAAATAAAGAAAACACACCCTCAAACATGCTGGAGCAAGACCACTTAGTGTAGACATCGGTACTAGCCTTCCGTACTGAAACAGGATCTTTAGTCTCCAGACATATCCTAGTGACTCCAATTAAATCACTGTGACTTCTAATGATACCAGAAGGAAAGATCTGCTTTTAACATGTGGATTTAAACAGCACAGCTGACCGTCAAAGACTTGGTATACAACTATGCTAACTGCTGGGAAAGTATTATGAGAGGGAGGAAATAAAGCTCAGTGCTATGGGAAGGTCACTGGGATCCTTCAAAGGTTTCTGTAGGCTGAGATCTATACACCTGAATCCAGCTGTAGGGCAATCACAGAGAAGGGGAGAGTAAGGGAAAACCAGTTTGTTATAATTGGAGCTTTTTGTTTTTCCTGTTAGAGGAATGAAAACTGCCTCAAATGATGCAATGGGTCAACCTGAAGACAGCCACATTTGAAAAAATACTGGAAATCCTGAAGTCAGAGCTTGTGAATTTGTTTGGTTTGCATGCTGCCTTGGAGGAGAGAGAAGTTAATACTTTGAAAAGCTTGGTATTTACACTTCCGAAAAGTTTCTGCGGTTCATCCAAGTTTGATAGGGCAGGATTTAAGTGCCTCTTAGTGTTCCCGACTGGGCACTTCTGCTGCTTTGGCACACACACACACGCACAGTATTCCAGTACCAATGGGACGCGACGTCTAACACAGCTTTAAACTGGCAGCACTCCTGAGTAGTTTGAAATGTTTATCAACTCAGTAGGTCAAAAGTCTGCAGACACTGGGTGGAGCAGCAGTATGCCACAAAACTAACAGCTGTCCTCCTAAAAAAAAAAAAAAAAAAAAAAAAGGGGGGGAGGGGGGAACAGTAGTCAGTAAAGATTAAAGCTCCTGGCCTCATTCCACAGCAGACAATATGTGGGTTTGTAAAATACAAGATTAGCCCATCTCAACACTTCAGAAAAAGACAGTTGAACTGCTCTATGACAGCCTGATACAACGGCAGGGAAACACTGTAGCAGTGCTCAAAAACCTTCCTGGTTTCTTATGTCTCTAGTTTAAAGCAGCAGCGTGTGGTTTTTCTTTCTGCAGAGGGTGTGCCTGGGTGTTACAGCCAGTAGGTTTAACAGCTGAGAGGAAAATAGCTGGGCAATTCTTTGCTTCAGCTTTGCTCATGTGTTACTGAAATTGCTGCTTGTAAGGCATGAAATAACTTGAGTCGTGTCCTCCTTTGGTTCAGGCAAGCGAACAATCTGGGCCCAGCCCTTCAGAAAGGGCAACTGACAAGCAGTGCTGTCGCACTGTGCCAGGTACTACGGCAGGGGTGGCAACAGGAAAGCGTGATGCTAGCCTCACTGTGACCCTCCTCCTGGCAGGGACCTAGATATCTGCTTTAAAAACGTTTAAAGATCTGGTTTTTACTAACCCAGAAATCACACTTAACCCAGCGCTCATGTCATCTGTGCTTTTTTCTGATACAGAAATCCAGTTCAACACTAAACTATCCTTTCCTGTAAGAGAATAGAGAATGTGAGACAAATCCAGACAGAAGTTACTGTCATGGATGTGGCATGTGCTAATCAGTGCTGTTCAAATGTTCAGGATCCCTACCCTGTGGGCTTTCATGGCCAGTGTAAGCTCTTCAAAACTGAAATCCAGACCTTCACATCTTTCTAAACCAGCTATCACCCCTCTACAATTCCACATAATCTTACCATGTCAAGTGCACGAGCTACAGAGATAAGGATGACAGGCTGCCCTGTTTAGATCACATTTTCTGTGGATTTGCATCAAGTGTCAGCTACTTAAGACTGTATTCATTATGGCATTTTGAAGAACACTGTATATTCTTGTCTAGGGGAGGGAATGATAACCATTTTTTAAACAAGTTAAAGCCATGCAGAAGTTAAAAAAAAGTCCTTAAGAACATGCTTTGTTCCATAAGGTGTTTTTCTTCCTAAATGAAACCCCAGTGTAGTTTCCTGTATAATTACCCTTGATGCAATCCTGCCATTGGAGTTTCCCTCAAGGGAAAGAAATGGTAAACATAGGTTGGCTGCAGCGGTGGCAGTGTCCCAAGGGACAGTGCAGCAATTCCAAGAGGCTTTTGGGTAGTGAGATTGGAGTCAGAAAGTTCAAATCTAGAGAAGAAACAAAAAAGGTTTGTAACAAAACAACTGCATGATCAAGTCAAACACAACAAGCATGATCCATGAACAATTCAGAAAATCAGCTGTCTCGCATTCTTAAGACTGTCAAAAAAACAGCAAGGTAACACACTACCACAGTTAGGGTGATGCTTTCCATGTATAAGCTCAAAAAGTTAAACACATAAATTTAGCATCTGTGGGCATAAGATTAACTGGACCCAAATACCCAGGTAAAAATATTATAGCTCAAACAAATAAAACCCAGTAATGTATCATAAAGCATTTTTAGTTACAAAGATGATCTAGATGAGGTTTTAGAAATTAAGAACAAGACAAAACTCTGAAAAGGACATCAGTAGTATTTTCCTAACAGCAACCAATCCAGCAGGGTAGCTAAACTCTCTAAAAACCCAAACTCCACCATCAGCAAGAAGGGAACTGAAATATTTAGAATTACTAGAAATACAATGCAGCCCAGCATAATTCTCACAGGTACAACCAAAAAGATCAATACATTTATAATCTCTTAAGCATGCCCCTCAGTATAGGAGATGCCATTATTTTTACCAAAAGGGCCTCCAGGGTCATTTCATGGGAAAGCACAATGACTTTCTCAGGCTTGGCCCAAGCCATGCAGTGTTTTATAAATTAAAAGCAACATGCTAATCTCCATCTAGAAACTGAGAGACAGCCGGGACAGGTGAATGCGTTTAGGTGCTGAATAATCAAGACAAGATGCAGTACCCAACAAATCAGTTCTGTGATACCCAGCTACTTTCAGCTTTCAATCCCTGTAAGGTTTAACCCCATACACAACGTACCACAACAACCTCGACTGAGACAAGCGTGACGAATAGCACATTTGCGTCAGAAAGAAAAGGTCACATTCTGTAGCCAAGCAAAGATTGAGGTAAAGCAGTCCAGTCACTTCTGTCATACTTACCTAGCAGCAGCCAAGTATTTAACAGCACCCTTGAAACTGCAAATTTAGGCAGTGATAGATGCAGTCTGCTACTTTAATGTGCCACCTGCTTCCCCACACACCATTATCTTACACCTGCCTGAACTACACATTACTTCTGCCTCACAGAAACGCGGGTGTCACCAGTGGTAACACACAGAGTCTTTAATAAGGTCACTCAGAACACAAATACACATACATGTGTGTGTATATGTATATATAAATATGTAAAAAGACTGCACAGTACAGTGTAGCAAACTAGAAGTAGGCAAGATAGTTATAAAAAGTGTTTCACCATCTTTTTCAGGTTCTGCTCCTAGGCTGCTAGCAGATATAATGCTCACAGCCTTGTATAAACCATCTACAAATAATTTCTTAAAGTGATTTTGCAATGCTATTTTGCTGTTCCCAAACCAAACTTCACCAACATCTTCAGGAACCGCATTCACACAGTCATATGTCAGAAATTATTGTGCAAGTCACAACTGGGTGAGAAAAGTAGTTAGCGATGATTTAAAAGATCTTGTACCTGATGTTCTCAAATTCCTTTTCAAAGGCTAGAATATTACAAATCAAAATGAAACAGCATGTCACTGTGTAATTTTGGTGCAGCTGATATCCCAATACTAAACAACTAAAAACCCACTTTCTCCCATCCATATATAGAAATATAGAAAAAAATACATCCTCACACTGCTCAATATGTTCTCTACGTCAGTAAATCCATTCTCCACAAAGCAGTCATTTCCCATGAACACAGGTTTGTATGTTTATCCCACCCCTCAACAGGAAGCTTCTTCCCTCCATTGTTTTTGATGCACACCTCCTCGTATGCTCTTCCTGGTAAAGCAATAGTGGCCATGGTACAAGTGACCCCTTACCATAACCCTCTCATCTTCCCATTGTAACCCTCTGCTTTCTACTTTGACCTCTAAAGCTGATGAATTCCCAAGATGCTGTGAATAGGAGAGCCACAACACATGTAAATCTGACAAAATCTGAATCTGCAGGTTATCATCAGATATTGCTAACTCATGTGACTGCATGATGCATAAGCAGATGAGCCAAGGGCCGCTTTACAGCAAAGAGTCTGAATTGGGGCAGAACTAAAACAGCTCAGCTGTCACGTTGTACTGAAATGGCCAAGGGCTGCTAGCATTTCTTTTGCCTTATGTATAACAAGTCTGCCAGTTAGGAGTGTGCTGCCTGGCAGAAAGTTGCATTGTTGGCTGATGCATCTAATCTTGCCTCAGGAACTGTGTTTCTCATCTCCTATTTCCATTAAAGAGTTTCTCCTGCAAAAAGCGTCCTTCTTTATAAAGTCCTCAAGAAAGAAACCATTTGTAAGCACCACTCAACCTCAGAAATAGTCTTTGAATCTCTGTTTTTTGATATTGGACATTTTTGTTCCAATATAGCATTTCAAACAATTTCATTAAATAAATCTTTTAGAATATTAATCCTCACCCAGCTCTTTGAAGAGCTATTTGAAATGTTCCCATCACTACCAGAAAAACACTTTGATTCCTTCTGTAATCTGAACAAGGCAGAAATATCATACCTTTTAAAAAACTGTAGTAGGTGTTATAGAGGGTCCTCATGGCCAGTTCTTGCAAAGGCAGCACATGATCTGTTTCTGTCCCTATAGATTTCACCTCTGCTGGCAGGAACACAGTCAACTGGCCCGATGAAAAAGAGAGTAGTTTCACCTCTGAAACTTGAATTGGAGAACCACAACTAGAAGAACACAAAGCATTTAGAAAGCAGTTAGAAAAGAAACTTCATGGGGAAACCCAGATGATCAATCCAACATAAGCCTGATACTGTTCTTCAGTGCATCCCCATTCAAGGGTTCCTTGCAGAGCGCGTTACATGTTGGGGTTGGACTAGATGACCTTTAAAAAGTCCCTTCAACCCAAGCTATTCTATGATTCTATGTTGACACACGTGTTCTATAGACTGCCACCTTCTGTGACATGACAGTCATGGAACATCTGGAGGTCTTAACTTATCAAATAGTATTCAAAAGCTGGAAAAACGAGAACACAATCCCCAGGAGGTGAACCAAGTGCACTACGTGTCCCTTTGCCAACACACTAATCTCTTTTAGCCTCTGAATGCCATTACTAATAAATATTTTACATAGGGGAGCAGTTTCATACTTAACAGTTGGCTTCTTGTGTCTTCATCAACCAGTTAAGATAATGGATTTCTCAACTATGAGACATGAGGCAAACTACAACCACCAAAAAATACCATTTAAGTGCCAATGGGTGATTTGGTACTACACCTTTCCCCATCCACAGAGTACCCTTGGAGAGTGCAGGGGGGTGGATGAAGGACAAAAAAATAACAGCTTCAGATGTAGTGGGAAAATACCCTAGTAAGTGTACTAGCCTTGTCCTTCCCAAATCATGAGCAAAATGGAAGGTTATTGGGATCCAAGGAGAGAAACTTAGCTTGTAGTAAAAATAATGACACTTCACATGATCCCTGTTGCAAGCTATCATACCAAAGAGACACGCATAGGAAAATTCTACTAAGAGGTTGGGGAAGTCAACAGGGGAATCGGAATTGTTTATGACAACTTAAATTTGAAGCCAAGAGCGACTTGTTAGGGCCAGTCCGAACAAATGGAACAGAACACGAATTTGTCAGCCTTCCTAGATACTGGACCTAAAACTGAAGTAACTACGCTCGAGCTTATCAGATGTGAAAGAAATCTCTTAGTAATTCTCCGATGACAAAATTGCATCTCTTCTGATTAAAGGAAAACGGCCCATAGAAACAAGCAAAAAAAGAGCAGTGTCAAACAGCAAGTCAATAAGTCTCTTGTTAAATATTTAATGCTTTCCCACAAACCATTAATGGGGTTAAAATATAAGTAGAAATTCAGAGATCCAATATTCCAACAATCCATTCCACAGCAATCCATACCCAATGAGTTAGCTGTCACAAGAAATAAATCTATAATGTTGTATTTTCAAAGTGATTAACCCCTTACCAGCCTGTCTAGAAGACACACCCATAAGCTCACTACAGTTTCTGTAGTTGAGAGCTGGGCCATTTGGTCTACTCTACACAAAGGGTGAGGCTGTTAATGCCTGACCACAACACTGAAAAAACAGTAAATAAGCAAAACAGACCATCAAGAGGAATAATTTAAGAGAAATACACCCTTAAATCAGGATGGATTAAGGAAGGAATCTCAACATGAGTAATACTGGGTACAAGAATAAAAAAACCCAAAACAAACTCAAAAATCCATGGAAGTTAAAGAGCAGAGGATGGTCTATCTAGCTAGCAGAAATGGAGTTGCAGAAGAACCCTGGTAAATAAATAACTGGGGGAAAAAAGCTGTGACCATCTATTGGCTGCCTTCAGCAAGACTGACAGATACCTAGCTGGAGCCTATGAAATCCAATCCGCAAAAAATAAGATCAAAATTTATTTTGAGTGCTGAGATCATCACCTCTTACATAAAAGACTTCTTCAGTCAGTTTGACTGCAGGATTCCCAGACAGAGATTCATTACTTACACAATGCAATTTATATTCTATTTTCAGAAAGCCAGCTTTATGTTAGTAACAGCAGCATGTCAGATTGTATTCTCCAGCGGATGACCAGACAGAAGCGCTAAAGCCTGAACCTTCAACTCCCGCCTGACCCACGAAAACCTTGCATTGGTTACTAATGCTTTCTTGAAAAGAACACACAAATTCTTCACATGACCATTATTACACAATTTAACATCACTCAGCACGTTATCAAATAAAACCTTTGGTTTCTTAATAATATGTAAGTGCTCTTCCTATGTTGAAAACTTTCCTTAAAAATCCTCTATGATGTTTCAAGATGGTTTCACAATGTAAAGACAAATATCTGTTTGGTATACCAAAGTATTATTTTGCTAACTAAAAATATTTTTTAAATTCTATATTATTAAGGAAAAAAAGACTTAAAACATTAATTTCATTGCAACACTTGAAACTTTTTTTGGTCCCTTCTAGATTTATTTACTCTCCATCAGAGATAACTAGGAGCAAGCCTCACCTGCAGCATACACGTAATGACAGCAATGAGTACTGGTAATATCTACACAAGAGGTCAGTGCAAAGATAATATTATTTTGACTGAGTATAAAATAAGGACTTAAAACATGAAAATATAAAGACAGTGTTGTTGAAAATCCCTGAAATAGACAGAACAGTTGGACCAAACTCGTTGGAACATTCCCTGCATTGTCAGTAGTGTTTTTGGTCACCCTCAATACAGTTCTATTACCTTTAAGGTCAATTTAATGTCTGTCTTACAATTTATAATCAGTTCTTAAAGAAGGCTAGAAATGATTTTTACTGAAGAACAAAGTTAGTAGAAGCTTGAGACTGCACACAGTTCAGCAGAATTATAATCCAACTGCAAGTATTTAAATATCACACAACCAGCTGACATGGGAATATTAGAAAAACCTTAAAATGCCAAGACTCAGCATCTCAGATACTGCAGTAGAGTGCAGGCTGTAGAGAGGGAATTTATATTTAATGCAAGATTTGCTGAGAGCAAGCATTCCAGAAATTTATAATTAGATGGTAATGGGGACAATCCTCTTCTGATCAGTTTTACACCAGCAAGGCTCCATTCATCAGTGGTGCTGATCCTAATTTATGCTAGTGTCAGTGCAGAAAGAATTAAGCTAGTGTCCTAGACAGACCACTTTTTTCTCACATCTAACCACAAACATGAGACAGCCTAGGATATTTTTAAAATGCACAGGTAAAAATATACTTGTCAATCCATAATTCCTAAATAAGTTACTTTTTTTAGTTAGTAGGTACCAAGACCTACAGGAAGTTGATACTGGGTTGTAAAATGAGTGAAGGAGCTGCGTGTGACATTCCAAGACACCGCCCGTAACTTACAGACACGTGAGAACTTAAGAACTACATAGATGCTGCAACAATGTTAAATATTTAGTTCATTCTTTAGTCTGGGAAATTCTGCGAAGCCTACATTTTTGGCCAGCCTTTAAACGCAACTGGGATGGAGCTTTAGGCCTTACATTGTCATTAAAAGCTCCTTCAGAGTAACTGTACTGTTGGTTACAGCTTAATACTAAAACATTCACAGTCAACAATTAACACAGATGATTCATTATAAGAATCAAACAGAACCAGGAGCTGCAGTAGTGCCTTCAAAGTAACATCAGTTCTGAATCAATCACACAAAAATCAGTTGTATCATACAGACAGATATTTATGACAAGTTTTACAAGGAACAGACATGCAAGACATCTGAATTAATTCATACCTACCCACTGCAACCAATGACTTTATTATAGAGATAAGATGGGAGGCCTTTCAGATGAATATTGTTATCCACATACACATACTGTAGCTCCCGGGAACGACCTAAATCTGGGTTCAGAAAATGAGAAAAACATGAGAGGGAGAAGGGATGACAATGACAATTCAAAGCAAAGCAACTCTCCTTAATTATAAATAAGCTAATTGGACTCACAAGTAAGCAAATACAAATTAGTACTTCGGTTGTAAAATTTCAGCTGATGATTTTATTACGGATGAGGTAAAAAGCTGTTCAGAGAGCAGCGTTCAAAATTACTCAAACAAAACCAAAACCAAACCCCTTTACAGTAGCCCTGAAAATCCCATTATAAATAATTAAAATTTTAACATTGACCAATTCTGAGGTCAGTTTGTAGAAGCAAAGGGACAATTGATTTCAAATCTGCAGCACATACTTCCAGTTCATAAGGCCAAACCTTCTTTCATTAACTGGCCTCATGTCACTGAAATCAGAGCTTCACTATCTTGGGTAAAGTTGTACAGACAAACAAGAACACGGTCCGTCCCACTCTCTCTTTTCTCCAAGAAGAGACACTTGCTTGATTTTATTAGGCATAAGCAAATACAACCAGTAATCACGCAGAAATAAGGCTGTGTGATGTAGTAAATCACAGAACACAAAAATACACAAGCATTAAAACAGCAGAATATTATACCACACAAGTTGTGGCTACAAGTAATTGATCAGTGCATCTGACAGTGTGCTTCTTGCATTAGTTTTGTTAAATTACTCTCTGCTGGCACTCAAAAGAGGCAAGTACAGCATGTTTAAGCAATACCTTCACAGGCTATATTAACATGCCTCCAGATAGGAGCATATAGGTATGGAATAATTTTATTTTGTTTAGAAAATTGAAGTGGGAAAATGGAGCAAAATTAAAAGGGAAAATTTAGGCTTTTAGGATGAATTCTTGGAAACAAGAATTTCACTTATTAGCAAGATGTAGTCAGTGCTAAAACCGTCTGGTACCAAAATAAGTGAAATACGTGCTAATGAGAGACGTAAGAAGACAAAGCAAGGAGTGAACTAAATAGTGCAAGAATTTGAACTGGCATGAAAGCTGACAAGTAGGATCATCTGGGCAGCCCGTTCAATCTGTGGTTCCTATGCTGTTCAAGACATTGGGTTTGGAAAAGACACACGCGTTTAACAGAAAGCACAAACCAAGCAACGATGTTTGAAAGCCTCTCAGCCTGGGAGGGGAGGCTGCACCCCTGACGAAACGCATTATGGGAAAAAAAGACTGTGTGCCTCTCAACTTCTTAAACTTTCATAAGTACGTTAGAGAAACTAAGCGAGCTAAACAGGCACTTGGCTGAATCAGCCACAGTACACGGCAACACTAACATCAACTAATTCTGACTCTCCTTCTTTATCAACTGTCAATTACCGGGATTGGCATAAAGATAAGGATAAGCAGAGGAATTAACATAGCTTCTGTCCCTTTTGTAATTGTGGCCAAGAACTGAATAAAAATTAAATTACTTCCCATGATACTTCTATACTGACATTGTATTTGGAATAATGATTCCCTCCTATGACAATAGGTAATACAACCTCTTCATTACCTGTTTTATTGTTCATAAGAGCTCTGGAGACCACTTCATGCACAAAAACATTTTAAGTAATCCCCCAAGCATTTGGCTATCTTAAAATATACTGAATGTCTTCAGCTGCCACCCATTTGAATGGCAGCTGTAAACACCAGAAACCCTAAGAGCTCACACTGAGGAGGTTCAGAGGGTGTCACATCATAAAACCTTTAATACGAAGAGCAAGCGATGATACCAACAGAAAACAGAGAGATGCATTTTCTGAGATAAAAATGCTATCATAGAAAAATTGAGGGGTTTCGGGGTGACAGTTTGGTTTTTTATTCCTTTTAGTGCAGGTCTTCACCCTGCAACAGTCAGGTTTCAGGGACCATCACCTGGGCTTTGTTCAAACTGGAGTCACTGGACAACAGGGGACACGTTCAACCATCGTACGCTCCTCTGACCCTGTCCCAAAGCTGTCCCAGTTCACAGAGCTACCTGCTGCGTCTGTCAACTGTCCTGCCCCAAGAAGCAAGCACAAATCTCTCTGCTGACTGATGGGCACTGCTGGGAGATGCTGCTGGGCATCGTTACGAGCTAACACCTCAAAAAGACCGTTTAATTTTGGCTCAGTATTGCAGGGCTGAAAATAGTTTTGTAAAGTTCTGGGATATTTTTAGATGAGACAAAAACATTGTTACTTTATAATGAATAAAAATATTGCAATACTGAGGCACTGTAACACCATAAAATATTTTAAGGCTGGAAGAGAATCAGCCAATAACATGGAAAGCAGATAGCATGTGCATGGCACATGGATTATCGCCTCGTGTTGCAGAAGCCAATTATTCTAAGAGCAGAAAACCATGGGTTGCTGGGGTAGCTTGGAAGTGCTACTGTTTAACTTATTAATTTAGAGAATGGAAGAAAAAATTTTAAAGGAGACTCATCGTGCTCATTTCTACACAGATGTATGCAAATGGGCTGAAAAGCAGGCAAGTCAAAAAAAGCCCTAAAGCTGGTCTTTCATATGCGCTGAGGGGGGGAGTTCGGCTGCATCTCATCTCTTCCCTCTGTCTTTATCTTATGCTATGTTTAGATTCCGAGTTGACTGCATTTCCTAGGTAATTAAAGCAAATTTTTGGATGTTAGACAAAATATCTCAGTAGGAAAAATTCAATTCCCAAAGCCAAATAGCCTGTAACTATAAATGTTCCTTTGATATAGTTTCTTTGTATTCAATAACCACGCATCTTCTAGTCCCCAAAAGACTTTTTTTCCAGTTTCAAACACTATCCATAAAGTTTAAATTTAAATAAATCATCACTTTAAAAAGCTCTTTGTATCCCATCCACATTAATTTTTATGTCTTATATCAGTCAACAAATATTGTTAAACGCTCGCAAAAAACACGCTTCTGAAGAACTCTGTAAAATAAGGAAACTGTCCATCTATGAGAACGCCAAAGCTACAAAGAAGGTTTTCATGTGGCTTTTGCAAGCACTGTACTGTGTCTAAAACATTTCCACTTTCCCCCTTGCAGGCTGCCAGATCAAAGACCTTTCTCCCAGAAATGACCAAATGCCATGAGTCCCAAACAAACCCCAATTCTATTTTTTTTTTTCCACTTTTTTTACTCCCCACCCTCCCCCTTTTATTTTTAACCTCAGGGCCCTGGCATATGCATTCCACATGGCTGAAGATGGAACAAAAGCTCTTGTGTGTCTGCACCGATGCTCTTTTAACCATACTGTGAGGGCAAGGACACAAAAGCAGCATATACTGAGGTAGAATAAGACCTTTGTTTACTGTGCACTGATAATTACTAGACCCATTTTCTAAACAAAAAGTGCACATAAACCCTCAATAAAGTGATATAACACTGAATATTTGCTGTCATAACATGCCCTGTACTGCCAGTACACTTGAGAATTTATGGCCTATTTTAATGATATTTGTACTCTATTACATAAATCATTTTTATTTTTGCAATGTCATCAGATTCAAATTTCTGCTTCAAATAGAATTTGTTTTCAGGCACATTTGCTAACAGCAAAATTTTAAAGTTAGATTTCTATCAAAGGATAATTTGTATTTTAAGCAGATTGATATAAAATGACCAGTAGTTCCATCTGCCATTCAAGAACAAAATTCCAAAAAACCATTTATTAGAACAACATGAAAACCACCTTGACAATAACAGGACTGTCCAGAATGCAGTTTCCTGTTCAACTTAACACATACGATTTGGTTTTTGGTGTTGTGGTTTGTTTGGGGTTTGTTTTAATTTTGTTTTTAAAATAAATCTATTAGGAAGGCCCAAAGGCTCAGATCCACCAGTCTTATTTCATTGAATATAAACTGGAATACTCAACAGCTTAAAAATATTTATTTCTTTATTTAATACTGGCAAACCCAAGAATTAAGTGTTTTCTGCAGAACAAATGAATAATTCATTATTGTTTACCCATCTGCTTGTTTATGTACCAGTTCTGAAACTCAGAGTGGCATCAGGTCTTTTTGTTGTATTTTGTAAAACATTCTTCTTTTTTTTTTTTTTTTTTTTTTTTAAGATGCATGTACATGCAAAGTTAAAAAGAATGTACAGGACAAAAAACCCTACATAGTACCTATCCAGCAGTGGTGTGAAAGTTCTGTGCTACTGCTGGACTAAATCTTACACCTATCAATCTAGGAGCAGGAAAATGCAGATTTCCATGACACTTAACAAGGGGCTTAGACGAGGAAGAACAGATTCCTTGACACAGTACTTGTCAACCACTCAATGAAATAAACTAAATCACACTTTTAAAAGCATTAAGCAGTATGTTCCAAACATCTCTCTAACGTGGACAAGTCTGATAAAAAAAGACAAAAACATTCTGTCAGGACACGAGTAAAACGTCTGCTTTTCAACTCAACTCCCTAATGGGAAAAAATAGTTTGACAGGTCTTACTTGAACATCACTTGTAGATATTTCTGCAGTATCTTTCACCATTATTTCATGTCCTTACTCAGTCATTAACGAGTGAAGTTGGATGTAAGAACACACACAAAAAGACCCATTAGCCAACATGTGCAGCTAGCACAAATAATGCTACAGTTATGCCTTAACTTCGGTAATACTCCAAGAAAAATATTTTCCCATACAACAGAAGGCAGATTTAATCTTTTTGCTTTTCAATGCACTAACTCTCTCTTCCACTTTATTTCATCACATCTTGATCACTCTGAAGCCTTCTGATTCTTCAGAGGAAGGATTAAACATTTACATTTATACTGTGCTGCTTTTCCTCTGAACTCTAGGATTTATGATTCAGTCTCATATCCACAGATAGCAAATTATCTCCAAATGTTCACCAGTGAGTCACTATTAAGAACTACTGAACAAGGTCAATAGACAGGCTTTGATGTTTCCCGTTATTTTAAAAGTTCCTTTTGAATGTTTTGAATTTGAGTCTAAAAATAAAGAAAAAAAGAAGGTGTGTCATTATATTAGAGATTTATTTCCTCCTTTTGAACTTAAAACACTTCAGCAGATCTATGGCTCATCCAGGTCACAGCACACTCACAGATAAGCTACTAGTGCCAAAGCAGCAAAAAATTCTACCCTTGAGTATTTCACATCTTGTCTTACTGAACAGCATCTTATTGTTGCAAAATTAAAGAGACTGAACTTCCCGTCTCGTGAAATGGAGTTAGAAATATATGCCAAAATAGGGGAATCTACTTTGCTTATTTTAGTTAGTATGGTGGAATCTGGATGATGCATCCTGGAACTCATTCTCTCATTTATATAATGACCTGTGTTGGGAGACAACTAAAACACTGTCCGGAGACATTATTTGCACTTACTTTCCACTAACATAAAACTAAGGTGATAAGAAAATCAGAGAGATCATAAAATTCTTTAAAGACTAAAATGCTAGTTCTGAAAAAATTAAGTTAAACCTATATAATGTAATTAATTTAGAAATTATCATCTCATTTTTAGCCACCTCAATTTTTAGCTTCTTTTCAGTGTGATTATCATAACTTCATCTGCACCTAATTAACACCAAACTGACCGTATTCTAGAAAATCTATTAATGGTTATTCAAATGACATCACAGATCTGCACGCATGTCTCTGTTTCAGCAGATATAAGCCCACAGAAGGGCTAGAAAGTAATAAATGCATGGAAGAGGGCTTGGTTTTCCCAGGCAGCATATACAGTCCACACTTCCTGACAACAGAGCTACTTCCCACAACATAAAACCACACGCTGACTGCTCCTCCTCTTCTTGGAGACCTGCTTCTGCACTTCCAAACTTTAAAAGTGTTGAGAAAAAGGCAGATTAATTCTTTCCTGGGCTACTACTGTGGAAGTTTTGATGGATGCCTACACACAGCACAAACTAAACCTTCTCTAGATTATGCTGTACCAACAACATTCCTAAGGATGAAAAATAATTTCTGTGGAGTCGCTGGGATTCCACAGCAAGTTTTAAACCCAAGCGAAGAACCTTAGTTTAATCACCAGACCCAGCAAACAGATAATTACCCAAAGTGGTGGAACTCAGATTACATAGTACTATATTTAAACACAACATCATTTAAACTCTTTTCCCCCCTCAGTTAGCTAAAAATAAAGCAAATTTGATAGCTGACCTATGGCTTTAAAACAGACATGAAACCTTGACTGGTTTTTTTTTGGTTTATTAACATATTTTCCAGCAATATGATCACTGTGACAACTGCATAAACAAAGCTTGTAGGGACCACCAGAGAAAATAAATTCTCACCTTTGTTTTGGTGGGGGTGTTTTTTGTTTGTTTTTTTCTTTTTGGAACGGAAAGTTTGTTTTCCCGTCTCCTCTCCGACCCACCCCCAGGCCCATGACAGCGGTGACTCACCAAGTGGCAAAAACGCCAGGCGGTTTCCGGCCATGGAGAGCTCATTGAGGCTTGGTAGCTGGCACAGGTGGCGGGGAACATACCATAGGTGGTTTCGGTCCGCAGTCAAGTACTGCAGCGAAAGGCACATATGCAGCCTTTCAGGTAAGGTTATCAAACGATTGGTTGAGATGTCCAGCGTTTGCAGCTCCCTCAGGTCTCCAACCTCTACAATCCAAAAAGGAGGCATTATGAATTATTCATGTAGCTATTTTCACAAAAAAATATCTCTCACATAAATAAACAAAGGTCATCAGTTAGCTGTGCTGGTTTTCTCTTAAAATACTGTTCTATCAATCAATGTTCAGAACTGATATTAATGATCTCCATCATCTTCATATTTCAAATATTTTTGACAAGGAACAGTTATCAGTTAGACACTATGTTTAAATCAGATCTCTCAAGATAGAGCATTCTTGAGCTGTGACAATTACTACTGTCAAAAATAACAAGCCGTTTCCTAGTCTTAAAATCAGAACTAGAAAAAAAAAATCCCAAACCCCCAAACAAAAACACATTACACAGCTGTTATTAAGGGTGTTTCACATGACTCCAAACTCATGCAAACTCAAATAATTATGTTTTTTTAAACATTTGAGGGTGCAATGCTTATATCCACCTTACTTAATATTCTCTTGCAATGAGATTTACAAATACACACACAGCACTTCTTGCTTGGTGACAAGTCTTGCACCAAGCAAGCTTAGGAACAACAGTTCTGTCGCCAGAACACTATTTAAAAGTCCTAGTTTAAATTACAAAAGAAATTTCTTAATAACATGTAAGTTATCTTGCAGTAAGATATTACAGTAAGTTCTAACCTGTAGTTGCAATAATTACAGCTTCTAGAGATTCTTCTTTAACATTTTAAGCAATTTAAAAGTACATTTTGTGTTGTAAATAGTATTGTGTATTTTTTTATGTAGGAAACAAAAGAAGTTCTTAGAAATCTGCGAGACATGATCACACAGGTAGTCTCACTTGTGCAACAGTGTTATCTTCCTTCTCTCTGGCCTGTGGGACCAGGCTGCACTTCACAGACTGACTAACAAATACATTAAGCAGCTCTACAGGTTCTCTCATTGTTCATTTTGTTATTCTTTTGCAGTTACTCTAAAAACTGGATAGTACTATAAATTATTTTCCCCAAACATGGCGAAATCGTAAACAGCTCTGATTTGTTTTAAGTACTTCACAGCCATGGAACCAACTCATGACATGCTTGGTGCCCCTAATTCTTACTGCAGTTCTCAGCATCTTGCAGAACCAAATGTACTTTGCTCTCGCTGGATGAAACCAGATCTTGCATCTGATGCTGCTAAAACAAGATTCACTAGAATTTTCTACACTGAAAACACCAGACAATCTACACAATCTGCCCAATTTACAGCTCTATCACCCAGATTTTTTCTTTAAAAGATATAAATAGGGTAACACTGTTTTAAGTTAAAGCTAAACAGAACCTGTTGTGCCCTTAAGCTCTCTGCAGCAGGAGCTAAAAAAATTGTTAATTCCCTAACTCTAAGGTAGCAACTTGCATACTACACCCAAAGAAGAAAACAAAATGCCAGGTTAATTTCAAACTGCCACACAATGGGGAAAAGAAAAGACAAATCTGAAATTGACCTTGGGAAAAAACTGCAATATATGTAACTTTCAAGACTGAAAACATGAAAAGGAAAATAAGTGAAGTTATAATTTAGTATTATTTACACAAAAGTAACTAATTAAAAAAGTGTGTGCACATTTAATTTTCTGCCCACTGAAACAACTCCAGCATTAACTCCAATCAACAGCACAGTACACACATCCTTTTATAAAACAGCACTGATGGAAGCAGCTGCTATACACAGATGACCACATTCTTCAAATCTCTCAGTTTTGACATCATCAGGCATCATAAGCATTAAAGTTGTTTTTTTTAACTACAAAACTGAAAATGAATGGCAAAAGCAAAATAATCACTACTAAACAGCAAAAGAGTAGTGTGGAAAAGAATTGCAGCAGAACTTGTTCTTCAATAGTTTTATATTCATCACAAACAAAGCATATGCTTGAAAACAGTGACAGGAAAAGAGCCACCTACTTTCAGCCAAACCACTGACCACATGCACTCAATAATAGGCCTAGCTATTTTCATGCACTAACCTTTTTCTCTGCCACTAAAAACAGTTTTCTAATTCAGTTCAGTTTCAAAATCCCATAAATGTTACGGTTGGCAAAGCTGGCAGAGTTTCAAAGGCATTGCTAGAATGATATGTTTCAAATCTAAGAGGAAATAAAAGTATTCTCACTTTATCCTTCATCCAAAAAACACATACTTGACCAAAACTTCATCCTCCCTACCTTAATCTTCCAATGCATACCAGATGTAAACATCCTCTTTCAACGTATAGTGCCACATGTTACAGAAACACCCACGGACCCATGATGAAGTTAAAAAGTAAACCAAACAACTTAAAGTGCCATCAGATTAAAGATATAACCCCCAGAATCCCTACCATAGTGTTGAAAGCTCATTTTAAAGAACATGCTCAGGCATTTACTAATGACACTAAATTGGCTTCCATCTCATTAAAGCAAAGGAAAACAATAAAGAAGAGTAACAGACAACATAAACAGTCCATTAATAACCTTTTCAAGCTTTAAGTTACTAAATACTATTATCCCTGCTTTAAAAATCTTGCAGCATAAATACTGAAGGATGCCTTGGCTAACAAACACAGTGAAAGACTTACAAATCTCTGTCTTGCTAGCACCTCATCAACCACTAAAACATGTATGAGAGGTAGACTTCAGAAATCTTAGGCAGACTCAGAAAAGAAAATAGCTATTCCTAAATATAAAGGACTGACAAAGAAGGGACTTTTATTCAGACACTGCCCCCCTGCCCTCAAGGATAAGAAAGGGAGAAGCATTATACAGCACCATTAAACCACAGAGAGCACTTCAATTACATTTAAATGAAATACATAAATGTATAATTTAAAATTTATATTAGCTCTAGGATTAACACTATCAAAATCAACATGCCAGAGCACTGAGCCCTGATTTTATACCAGAAGCCACAAAAAAATCCTCAGTGGCTTTGCTAAACCTCTAACTTGGAAAGACCCAAGTCCAAACGTGAAGTTCCTGTCCAATTCCCTGGACCTCATGTCTCAGCCATGTCCATCTGCACGGATTCCTGCCCTCACATAAAGCTTGGCGATTCCGTGGCTTGGCCATATGGTACCAATGTGTTCATGGCGTAATACACACAAAGTGGCTGACAGACTGTAAATCCACACACTACCTTACCTCACAGAAACTGAAACGCAGGCTTATACCCAGAGTCCTGCCTACAGCCTTCTGAAGGTATTTTCAGTGACAGACGTACACATAAATACCTCAGACTTTATTCTAAACTGCCAGGGCTTGAGTAATTGATTCATCTTTTTTATCCTTGGTAATATGAAGGTTCAGAAGTGATTTTTGTAGTTCCAAGAAGCAGCCTTTGCATTCATGGTAATAGCTTTCCCAACCACTTGGAGAATGGGACAAGTGAACTGTTATCGTATGCATTTGGGTTTTCAAAAGAAAAACTGCCAAATAGGTTTGTCTCTCAACATAAAGAAAAAAGAATCACCATACCTTTTGGTTTTTTGTTAAAGAAAGTGAAACCTTGAAAGAATTTCAGGGAACTTCCAAAATTGTTGACCTTCTAAGAAAAGCGGTTCTATTTGCATAAACACACCTAGCATCAGGAAAAAAGGGAAAAATCTATTTCTGATTCAGATGGTTTAAATGTCAGTTTTTAAAATTAATTAAGATGGTTTTACATGAAGAAAAAAAACCATCTGGAGGTAAGCAGCCTATACAACATGCAATGATTGCCAAAGGCAATTCAAACTTCCTTAACCTGCTGGGGGTACAGGCCTCACCAGCTGCAGAACTCTAAAATAACGGTTTTCTTTGCAATTCAAGAGCAACCCCACCTTTCCCTGTTGGGCCATAACCTAGAGTTTCATCCAAAGATATATGAAACACATACACAACTGGATTTGAGTGCATGGAAGGCATGGATTTATTTTAAATCCCACGTTATCTGAGTCTTTTCCTCCAAGTAAAGGAAAAAGGGGGACAGGAAAGGGCTACAAGACCTACCTGGCATGAGAATACACCTCAGAGCAGGATATTAAGAGAAAGCAGAAAACCTACAAGGAATGGAAAAAGGGACTGATCAGCAGAGAGCTGGCACTTGGAGGTCAGGCCACAGAATTTAAGTGCCAGGAGGTCAGGAAAATGGGAACTCACAGACAAACAAAAGGTTTCTCAACAAGAAATAAAGGGCAAGAAATTAAGAACTGGTGACAACAAGGAGAAGTTAGGAAGACAGACCAAATATTAAATTAGCATTTTGCATCATTTTTTCCTTTAAGAATAATGTTGTGTATGAGGACAGAGACAGAATACTTCATAGGAACGAGGACAAAGCACTGAAAATTACCACATCCATTACTAAAATGAAATGAGGCTGCTTTAAAAATTTCCATCCCAGAATGATGAAAAAGTGGGTTATATATTAAAATTGCAAACTCAGGCATGAGGATTCTCAATGAACAAGACATTTTCTGGCATATCAGCCTAGGGTTGAAGAAGAAACGTAGAACCTGTGGTCAAAAAATGCCCTGTTAATCTGAACTCTGCACTCTTCAGTACCTTACATTAACTGTTCTAAAGGAAGAGCGACCAAGAGTAACCAATGACTGAAGAATAAATAGAAAGCAGTATAAAAATGCAACCTGAAAACGCAACAAGGAAAGCCTGTCACTGTCCCAAGGCTGCAGTGCTTCACACTACAAGTCTTGGGTATATACCACAGAGTAATGTTTTCCAGCTAGTGGTACCCAGAAGGATATATTTTTATGAATCCATACAGAATCAAGTGCTGCGATGCTGAAACACTGGACTTACGCACACAGTGATCTCTCTTTATGCTGATATCCAAAACAGTGGTCGCTTCAGGAAAGGAAAGGTGCTAAGAGTGGCTACCACACCTTATCCTTGAAATACTGTTTTAATCAACTTCCATGAACTTCAGTGTAAGAGGCATTTTCCCTATCAGACCTATAAAACCATGCAACAGTGAGCAAAAGGTGTTCGAAATCTTTCATACTTACAGAACT